TAAAGCCTCCGGGGGAGGGGGGGGGGGGGTGCTCGCGTAAACCCATGCCGTAGTCGTCAGACCATTGACAACGCGTCCTCTCCGCTGCTCGTGTCAACGCATGCCTTAGCTGTTAGCAGACCAATGACCACGCGTCCTCGATCGAGAGGACGGAGTATTGGTTGTTCCCGCAGGAGCGATCACCGATGGTCGATCGTTCCTTCCTACTGTGCCAAAGGTGGCTCAACTTGGTTTTCCTTATCCTATCGATATTAGTTCCCGCCATTTCATCCCACTTCTTACACACCCCTGGAAGGAGTGGGGGGTGGGGGGCAAGAACGAAGCGTGCAAAGCTCAGGTTCTGTGCGGCTCGTCGTCACCAATCGTTGTAAGTTAAGGCGAGAGGCGAGAGGCGAGAGGCGGGGGTTGTCGTGTGTGTCTGTGTGTGTGTCCTCTTCTGTGTTGTGCCTCGCGCTCAGTGTCAACATTGAAAACAGCAAGCAGCGGCCCAACCCTCTCCCGCTGGCCCGCGTGCACCACCCTGCTGCGTCAACACTCTCTCCTCCAAACCCGTGTGTGGCACACGTAGTCAATGCCGCGGCACCGGTCCACGTGGAGCACTCTCATTACCATCCCCCTCCTCCTCCTCCTCCAATGCTCCCGCGACCCCTCCCTAGCACACAACACCCCACAACAACTCCCCCCCAGCAGACAGGGAAAACAATACGAGTATACTACGTCTCACCGGGGTGGTGCAGAACCAGGGTCCGGTTGCGCGGTTCCTGCCGGAAGAACTCTCTGCGGACCTTGTACCTCGACTCCATGTCAGGGTTTCCCTCCGAGGCGTTGCCGTCCCCCGCCACCTGGAGAGGATTGCGACCCTGTCGCGTCGCGGCATCGTTTGTTGGTACGCAGGCAACGCGTACCCGGGCGTTCGTGTGCGTGTTTATTATTAGCATAGACCGGCGCTAACCGGCTGACCAAATGAAAATATGTCAGCAGTCACAAGCAGTGCGGCTCGAAACAGGAAATGCTTCTCTAAGGGCCATGATCTGGGACTCCGTGAGGATGGGCGCGTCATATGGGGGAGACTAAGCAAAGCAAACAAATCTCCGGATATAAGACATGCGTGTCTGTGGCAAGGTAGGGGCAAGGGGGGCTGCGTCATGTTCTCTTCACGAGTGGGTTTCCAGGAGCATGGAGGCATGCCGAAAGGGCGAGGCGGGAGAGCGGGGGGGCGCTCCGGAGTGCGGCGGCAAGGCGGGTGGAACGGTAGACAAAAGCTGCTATTTACATCACGCGTCCCGTCTCTTGCCTCCCCGTGCCCCTTTTGTTGCGCATATCCACGCTCCCTGGAGGTAGATACATGTTTCTAGTACACACACAACCACAAGGTAAGACGTGCTGCCGTGCTTATCCCACCGCACATCCACCGCTGCCGCCGCCGCCGCCGCCGCCGCTGCTTCAGCTACTGCTGCTGCTGCAGCTGAGGATACTGCTCATGTTGCTATGTTGCTTCACTCCACTGAATCCAAGTGGGTCCTCCACTCTCCTCTGCCTCCCGACACAAGATCTTTTTTGAGGGACCGTCCACCTCCAATTGTTGCATCGCCGTCTTCCGAGGCCGGGCCCTTCTTACCTCCGAGTTGCGTACATCGGCGGAGGCTCCGGCTGCGAGTAGAACCCTCACGGCCGTCTCGCCCCCCCACCGGCTCGCGAAGTGCAGGGCGGAGTCCCTGTTGTGTTACGGCGAGAAAAAAAAAAAAAAACATGAGAAGTAGTAGGATGGAACAGTTGGTCATCGGTGATCGGTCTTGTGGGAACGATGCTGTGTCCTCTCTAGTAACACGTGGTCAACGGTATTTTAAACAGCTGACGCATGGACAACATGAGTACGCCCCTCCCCCTCATCCCGCTTTTCCCGCGTTTCCCATCTGTCTCACCCCTCTTCGTTCTTGCAGTTGATCTCCTCAGGAGTGGTGTTTGCGCTAAGCAGGCCCACAACCAGGTGATTACCGACCCACGCCGCCCAGTGCAGAGCCGTGTTACCCGCCGTGTCCGCCGCCGATCTCCTGGCACCGTGTGCGATAAGCGCCTGTCGGGGTCCAGAGTATAAGGGGGGACAAAGCGGGGGTAGTAAGGGGGGACGGCGGCAGCAGGGGGGGGGGGGGGGGGGGGGAGCACAGCACAACCGCAAATGGTACCGAACGTCTGACGCAGAAAACCTGATAGGTCCAGACATGCCGACTACAACAACAACAACAACAACAACATGCTCATCGAGTATTGATCATCCCACCAAGTACTCTTTCCCTCTTTCCGTCCGCGGCACGCCGCTGCTGTGGCGCGTACCGAGACACTTTTCTCAGAGAGAGACCTCGTTGCCTAACCTTAAGCCGCCGACGAGCGCCAATTTCAAACCTCACAAAAATTAATACCGCTATCTTACCTCGCAAAGGGAGTAGGCCGTGTCGGGACCCGTCCCGATCCCGCCGCTATCCCCGGGAGCCCTCTGCATGGACGCCGCCAGCATGAGGGGGGTAAATCCGAACCTATGCACACCATGAACCAACCAGACAAGATAACGCGTCCACGGCCGGGGGCGGGGTGATCGTGAAACGGACAATACCCAGAGAGTAGTAGCCATCAAGGCTGGATTCTGTGGGGAGGGGGTTGAACTGGGACAGGCCATGACAGGCGAAGATCGAAGGCGGGGTAGAGGCGTGCGACATTTCGTCGTTCCGACCTTGTGGACTTCGATCAACCCGTGGGGGGTGGGGGGAGGGGGGAGCTCGCCATACGACAGTCGCAGGCAACACATGACGACAGAAGCGCCGCATACATGTAGGCTCACAAGCTAATGGACCAAGCAAGATGTCAAGCCAAGGAGAGCCACCACAGCGAGAGGGGAATGAGCATGGTTTCAGCACCTCTAGCAAAGTCGGATACATCGCCCCACTCTCGTCACACAGGCATGCTATGCAGTGCAGCAACAGACACAGACACAGCAGCCTTTGGTCCAACTCACCATCCACGGGAGAAGCAACCATCGTCGTTTTCCATGCACGATGGGCCGCAAAAACGAGTCAAAAACAAACAAAACCCGGGAGTCAACCACTTAAAGCCTCACTTGTCAACTTCGTTCACCAAATCCAGCAACACGTCTCCACCGCCCCCGCCCGCAGCTGTTGCCCCCGCGTTCTCGCCCCCAGCCCCCCGTTCCGACGCTGCCGCCGCCGCCGCCGCCGCCGCCGCCGCCGCAGCCCCACTAGCAGCACCCTCTACCGTCGCTGGCGCCGGCGCCGCCTCTGGAGCCGAAGCGGCTTGTTCTTCCCCTGCGGGTGGCGCCGCCGCTGCTGGCGGTGCGGCCTCCGACATGGTCGCGTCCCCGTCGTCCCCATCCTGGCCTTCACCCGTCGTCTCTGCTGCCGCTGCCGGGGAGCTTGTTTCCGCTGCTGCCGCTGCTGCTGCTGACGGTGCTGGTGTCGTCGCTGCTGCTGCTTCTGTTGCTGCTACGGAGTCTCCCGCCGCCACCACGGGTACCGCCGCCGCCGCCGCCGTCTCCGCGGGTCTTCCCACGTCTGCGTCCGGCATCTCGGCATCTTGGCTGTCCTCGACGGTGCCGACCTGGGCAAACAAAAAGAAAGGAGGCCACGGCAGCGAGCAATCGCAGAACGGCTGATGGGCACAGCAGCATGAGGGCAATAACGGAAACGCTGAGGAAAAGAGGCAGAGCAGATCCCTGGTCTCTTCGGGCCGGAACGAGATAGAGAAAGCCGGGATGGAACACTGCCGGCAAGGGCCCATCGGCAAGGCAAAAAATCGAAACAGGGCCACACAAAACAACACAACGCATGTTTCTGGAAAACACCCTCGACGACCCCTCCGCCTCCCACGTTTCCACCTCAACGGGGAACGAAAACAGAGGCTGAAAAATACTGGCGGGATCATGGCACCGGTCCACTTCACCACCATCACCACCACCACCATCACAACTAACGTCCTCCCCCACCTTGACCGTCGGATCCGCCGCAGGCACGACCACCCCGCTAGCCGAAGCCACAACCACCCCCGCTGCCGCCCCCGCCGCCGCCGCGCCGTCCCCTTCCTCTCCGGGGGGGACGACACCCGCCGCCGGTGCCGTCGCAGGCCCCGCCCCCGCCCCCGCCGCCTCTGCCACTCCCGCGGGGGCGGTCCCGCTCGCCGGAACCACCACCGCCGCCGGCTGCTGCGTTACACCCAACGCACCGGTTACCCCCGCACTAGGCACCGCTGCCGTCGCGGAACCAGCGTCGGGACCCGCGGTAGCCTCCGCCGGTGCGGGAGACGCTACCACCGCCGCCGCTGCCTCTCCTGCCGCCGCCGCCGCCGCCGCCGCCGCCGCCGGAGCCGGGGCTGCTGTGGCTGCCTCCACGGCAGCAGCAGCAGCCGTCGCCGTCGCAGCCGCCGCTGCTGCCGCTTCTGCGGCGGCGGCGAGATTTCTATCTCGTACAGCCTTGGCGTTGGCGATCAGCCTCAGGGCCCCGGCAACCTGCAGCACGTAAAGTGACACGGGGGGGGCAAGGGTCAGGTATATAGGTTTTCTGTGCTGTCGCTCGGTGGCCATGGCCGTGGTGGTGGCGATACCCTTTCCATCCCCCCCTCCCCGTTTCGCGGGTGGGGGGGGGGAGCTCATGTACGCAACGTTTTGCTGGACGGCACTTGGTTGTTTCGCTTGTCTAACCACCGGTCTGGTCACGAGACCACCACGCGGAAGGAGGGAGGTGAAGGTCAATCCCGATCCAATCCCAGTTGGCCAAAGAGCGACCCAACCTTGTCCGAGGAAGAATGCGCACTCAACCCACACATGCGCCCACGCGCGCGAGCGTTGGGGAGTGGGGGGCGCCGCACGAACAGAAGCCGTGCTTTGCGTCTGTTGTGCCGCTGAGACTGCCGTGTTTACGTGACGCCATCACACTGGCGAGCTTGAACGGACGTTACAAGAAAACTAACGACAAACGCCGAGAGCTTCCTCCTTACGCCTCGCGGCAAAGCGCCAATCAATCAGAGGGGGCACTGCTGTAAGCGATCAACAAAAACCATCAGGGTGATCGCAACAGCAATAATACCACACGAGGAGGGACCGGTCGGCGGCAGCGGCAGCGGCAGCACTCTAAAACCCGCACCTGTCCCTGGCTGATGTTGCGGTGCAACGCCCCTCCCGCCTGAGGCGCCGCCGAAGAGCCGTTGGCATTACTGCCGCTGCTGCTGCTGACGCGATTGCCGTTGCCACCGCCGCCGCCGCCGCTGCTGCCGTAAGTCTGGGCAAAGTCGTTCGAGACTTCCTCCGTGGGCGTCATGCGACCCTTGGCCGCCGGCAATCCGTCGGGTAGGTTGTTCACCTGAGATGGGTACATCGATCGGGCAAGGCGAGGCCGAGAACGCGGCGGCAAAGGTGAGACCGGAACACAAACGCGGGACGCCGTCACCAACCAACAGAACATCATCATTGCTTGTTGTGCCCCCCGAGGCTCGGATCTTGTGTGCTCATCGGGGTAGGTGTACAAACCCAACAGCGGCGACCACGGCAGTTACTTCCCCCCTCTTGTTGGAGGCGGGGCTCGCAACTTGTCAACTAGGGAAAAGGACACGTGGCACATAAGGATAGCAGCTACATTGCAATTTAACTCCGAGTTTTCGAAAGACGAGTCCTGGCACACACAAGCGGAAGGCTCCCGGAGGGCTACCGACCCACGTCCGACCATGGGAGAGGATACGGGAGGGCGGGGGGTCCTCCTGTAAATGTGCATGTCGGTGTTGTTAGACCATTGACCTCGCATCCCTACAATGCCGGGATGGAGCGCGGTTATGCTGGCCAGGAGGGCTGGGGGAGGAAAAAATGGCCTGCCCATCCGCTTTTTACAGCTACATATTTATCAAGCAAAGGGGCATCCCCTACCACGTAAATTATCACCAGACAATCGCGCCACCAACGTCGCTTACATACTCCAATGCTTAATCCAATTCTCTCACCTCCCCATCCCACGGCGTATGCGCCATCGCCGTGTTTCCCGACGGACTAAGCAGATCGGGGTTCGTGATGCGGAGCCCGCCGCCGCCGCCGCCGCCGCTGCCGCCAGCATCGGGGGCGCTGTGGGGGCGCTTCCCGTTGTTGCGCATGTCCTCCGGGTGCACCCTGCTGCTGTTTGCCAGCAGCTCGGCGACCGCCATCTCTTCCCTCTGCAACAAAAAGGTTTCCAAAAGCATTTGTTGGACGGTAAGAGGGAAAAAAGGTTTTCGTGAGCATCGGTTTGACGGTAGAGGTAGAGGTAAAGGGAGGAGGACGAAGGGTAAGAGGAAGGGGTTGTTGATACCTTGTTAGTCGAGACAGACCTACCGTTGGGTCCAATTTTGAGGGAAAAAACACCATGTCTCGCCCTTCAAAGCGCTATTTGTCGCGGCCCGTGTTGTCGTCACCCTCGGGTTGAAAGCAAGCGTTTTTCCGGTCTATCTGGAAGGGATGGATGCTCAGCATGTAATGGGCGTGCTTGGCTACGAGTAGGCCTTCGTGATTACTGCCGGCTGGCATCACTGACCTTTCAGTGCACAGGCTCAAACAGGCTCAACCCCCCCCCCTCCAAACACTTCGGCCCGCAGCATCTCACCGACTACACAGGAGGCTCACCCTAACCCATGCCCAGCTCCGCCTACATAACTCTCCACCAAACCACACACGCCGTCCTCACCTTTCTAGATCCTTCCCCGGGGGGAGACGGTGCAAGCCGCCGGTCGACTCCCCCAAGCCCGCCGCCCGCGCCTGAACGCCCACCGCGAACCGGCGTTACCATGCTCAGCCGCTGGGCCCTCTCGCCGGCTGCCTGTGCGGCGTAGTGGCGCTGGGGTTCCGGTTC